ACTTGGTCTTAGCATATCCAGTGCCATCTTTCTTCTTTATCTCATGAAAATATCCTTGGCCAAAACTTCATATGTCTAAGGTATTTTCTTTTAAAGTTGTTTGTAGCACTAATTAAGAGATTGTTGGCCATAGGTGATTTCTGTATTTTTTTTCCACTACCATAAATCAAACAAAAGCAAATTTCAACCCCTGTGGCATACAAGTCCTGGGGCTGAAAAATTATAATAAGGCAGTGGTCATATTCTTGGGCTGACACAAATGCAGATCGGAATTGTGATAGCATCTCCTATGACATTATATATGACCAATCTCTTTGCCTACATAGAAAAATTGATAGTAACCCCACCTCTGATCATACTGCTTATCAAAGGGGATGGTGATTAAATATCATGTGGGTCACAGAAATATTTGAAAGGCAGGATACAATTGTTTCATCTCTTATTTCATTTTCAGTTTGGTCATTGTGTAAGATATAATCTTCTCCAAAGTAAAGTTTTGATGTTTGTATCATGTCCTGTGGCAGAAGCTATTTTCTAAATACTTTTTGTGGAGATAAAAGCCCTTAGAATCTTTACATTGGCATCTGGCATCAAGGCTTCACTTTTACACAACAGGAAGTGTGGTGACCCTTGAATTGAGCATTCCATTTTATTTACCTATGCATTTATTTAGAGTACAGGCTTTGTGTACTGATATAGGAACAAGGGTACAGAGAGAGAAAAATAACCAGAAAAATTCTTTTTATCAGTATATTCCTGCTTGCTTCCTAAAACTCAAGTCTTTCATTGACAAAAGATTATTAACATCTGACCTCTTAGAGGCCTGGGTCTGTAACTTACTTTTATTTTTATATCCTCAGTACCTAACAATGTGTGACACACAGGTGCTCTGTAAATATTTAGTGAAGGAAGGAAGGAATTAAGAGAATGTTTGAAACTCAAAAATAGAGGTGTTAGTAACTGATAAAGCTTATGTCCTATGCCTTCCACTGATACTTGGAAATTCAAAGAGAGTAAGAATTACACTTCACTAGCTTGGAGAAGAATGCATGTATTCATGACAACAGAGAGGTCCCATTTAAACCAGCTATTCGGCTGTTGGATATCTTCCCAAAAGAATTAATAGAATCTTACCACAGTGATATATGTGCACCCATGTTCATAGCAGCAGTTTGTAATACCTAAAACTTGGAAATAGCCCAGTTGCCCATCAACTGGAGACTGGATAAAGAAAATGTGCAGGTATTTTTTTCAATAAAACAGAATACTACTCAGCCATAAAGAATGAGAAATTAGAAACATTTATAGCTAAATGGATGCACATTGAGGTCACACTCATGTGAAATAACTAACACAAATGTGTAAATACTGAATAGTTTCTCTGGTGTGAGAAACTGAAAGTGTAAATAAGGATCAAAATGCATAATAGATAATATGAAATAGGAAGAAAAGGTGCAAAGGGGTAGGGGAAGTGGGAGGGGTAGGGGAAAGGACAGAAAGGAATGGAATTAACATGAGAAAATGAAAAAATGGAAACAATGTCTTTGTAAATAGAGACTGGTGGAGGGGTTGAAGGGAGGGCATGGGAATGGGGAAAAAATAAGAATCAAGAGAGATTATGCAAAGGTACAAATATCCAATGATGAATGTCATTATAATGTATACCTAAAATGTACCAATAAAATTAATTTTAAAAAAGAAGAAAAAGAGTATGAACATCAGGTCTTTCTTTACTGGAGCCAGGAAGTAACTGGCTTCAAATTATCAGTTCATTCTATCACCTATGTGATCCTGAGGAAGTTACCTAAGCCCTCTGTGCATTAGGTTCTTCATGACTTTTTTCTCTTAAATTCTTTTATTGGTACATTTTAGATATACATTTACATTCATCATTGGGAACTTGTACCTTTACATGATGTATCTTCATTCTTATTTTTTCTGCATTCCCTGCCCTCCATTCAACCCCTTCCCACTTCCTATTTGCAAAGGCTTTGTTTCCATTTATTTCTTCTCATATTTACTTTCTCTTTATTTTTAATTTCCCTTTTACTTTTCAACCACCCCTACTCCTTTGGTCCTTTTCTTCCTATTTCACATTATCAATTATTCATTTCAATCTTTATTTACACTTTCAGTTTTTCATACCAGAGAAATTATTCAGTATTTACACATGTGTATTCTATTTATATTACTTGAGAGTATGGCTTCAATGAGCGTCCATTTAGCTATAAATGTCTCCAGTTTCTCATTCTTTATGGCTGAGTAGTACTCCATTTTACAAAAAAAACACCCATATCTTCTTTATCCAGTTTCCAGTTGATGGGCACCTGGGCTATTTCCAAGTTTTAGCTATTACAAACTGTGGTGCTATTAACATAGGTGGACATATTTCACTGTGCTATGATGCTTTTAATTCTTTTGGGAAGATGCCCAGCAGAGAAATACCTGGGTCAAATGGGACCTCTAATCCTAGTTTTTTGAGATCTCCATACTGATTTCCACAGTGGTTGCACCAGTCTGCACTCCCATCAACAACAGAGAAGGGTTCCTTTCTCCCCACAACCCTGCCAACATTTGTTATTGGTTGATTTCATGATAGCAGCCATTCTTTCTGGGGTGAGGTGAAATCTCAGTATTGATTTCATTTGCTTCTCTTGAATGACCAGTGACGTTGAACATTGTTTCATAGGTTTATTTGCTGCTTTTACTTCATTGTCTGAGAAATGTCTGTTCATTTCAGATGCCCTTTTTGAATTGGGTCTTTAAATTTGGGGGATCTGACGTTTTTAAGTTCTTTATAGATTCTAGATAGATAGTAGTCCTTTGTCTGAGAAGCAGCTGGTAAAATTTTTTTCCCACCTTGTAGGTTGACTCTTAGCTCTGTTGGTGGTTTCCCTTGCAGTGCAGAAAATTTTTAATAAGATGAGATCCCAGTTGTTGATTCTTTGTGCTAGTTCCCATGCTATTGAGGTTTTGTTCATAAAGTCTTTTCCTATACCAATGTCTTCAAGAGTTGTGCCTAACTTATCTTCCAGCAAGTTTAGTGTTTATGTTTTAATGTTTCAATCTTTAATCCACTTCAATTTTAGTTTAGTGCATGGTGAAAGATAGGGGTCTACTTTTAATCTTTGGCAAGTTGAAATCCAGTTTTTCCAAAACTATTTATTAAAGAGGCTATCTTTCCTCCAGTGAGGGTGGTTGGCTCCTTTATCAAAGATGAGGTAGCTGAGTATGTCTGCAGTTGTTTCTGCATCTTCTAATGTATTCCACAGACCCAATGGTCTGTTTCTTTGCCATTACCGTTCTGTTTTTATCACAGTAGCTTTGTAGTACAGTTTCAAGTTGGGAATTGTAATACCTCCTGCCAGGACCCTGTTGTCTAGAATGGCTTTTTCTATTCTAGGTCTCTTCTGATTCCAGATGACCTTTTGGATTGTTTTCTCTAGTTCTGTGAAATATACTGTTGGGATTTCAAACGGGATTGTACTGAATCTGTACGGCAGTTTTGGAAGTATGGTCATTTTCACTATATTGGTTCTTCCTACCCAGGAACAAGGGATGTCTCTCCATTTTCTTATAACCTCTTCGATCTCTTTTTTCAGAGTGCTGTAGTTCTCACTGTAGAGTTCTTTTGTTTCCTTCATTAGATTGATTTCTAGGTATTTCATTTTTTTGGATGCTATTGTGGTAGGGATTGTTTCCCTAATTTCTCTTTCAGTGAGTCTGTTATTTGTGTATGAGAAGACTATTGATTTTTGAGTGTTGACCTTGTATCCAGCTACTCTACTGAATCTGTCAATTAAGTCTAGAAGTCTTTCAGTGGAGTTTTTTGGGTCTTCTATGTAAAGTATCATATCATCAGCAAATAAGGAGAGTTTAACTTCTTCCTTTCCTATCTTTATTCCTTTTATTTCTTTCTCTTGCCTAATTGCTGTGGCTAATGTTTCAAGAACTGTGTTGAATGGGAGTGGTGATAGTGGACATCCTAGTCTTGTTCCTGATTTTAGCTTGAGACTTTCAGTTTTTGGCCATTTAGTATGAGGTTGGCTGTTGGTTTTTCATAGATAGCCTTAATCAGGTTGAGATAAAGACTTTTTATTCCAATTTTCTGTAGGTTTTTTTTTTTATCATGAATGGGTGTTGAATTTTGTCAAATCCTTTTTCTGCATCTATTGAGATGATCATATGTTTTTTTCCCTTGGCTCTGTTAATATAGTGTACTACATTTATTGATTTACTTATGTTGAACTATCCTTGCATCCCTGGGATAAATCCCACTTGGTCAGGATATATGATCTTCTTGGGGACACTCTGTATTTTGTTTGCCAGTATCTTATTGAGGATTTTTGCATCTATGTTCATTAGGAAAATTGCTCTGTAGTTCTCCTTTTTTGTTTGGGTCATTCCGTGGTTTGGGAATCAAAGTAACACTTGCTTCCAGGAATGAATTTGGAAGTATTGCTTCCCTTTCAATTTCATTGAAGAGTTTAAACAGTAGTGGCAGTAGTTCCTCTCTAAATGTCTTGTAGAATTCAGCAGTGAGGACATCAGGACCCGAGCTTTTCTTAGTTGGTAAGTTTTTAATTACATTTTCAATTTCACTGATTGTAATTGGGGTGTTTAAGATTTTTATATCTTCTTGTTCAGCTTTAATAATTCATATGTATCTAGGAATCTGTCCATTTCTTCTGTGTTTTCCATTTCATTAGAGTACAGGTTCTCAACATATGTACTGATGATCCTATGGATTTCTGCTGGATCTGTTGTGACTTCTCCTTTTTTGTTTCTAATTGCATGGATCTGAGCCTTTTATTTCCTTTTTTTGATAAGGATGGCTAAAGGTTTATTGATTTTATTTATTCTTTTGAAAAGCCAACTCTTTGATTCATTGTTTTTTTTTGTATCATTCTCTCAGTCTCCATTGCATTGATTTCTGCTCTAATCTTTATAATTTCCTTCCTTGTACTCACTTTGGGTTTGTCTTGCTCTTCTTTTTCTAGGTGCTTGAGGTTACTCATTATCTTGTTTATTTGAGCTCTCTCTGTTTTCCTAGTATGGGCAGTCACTGCTATGAATTTCCCTTGTAGAACTGCTTTCATTATGTCCCATAAATTCCTGTATGTTGTACTAGCATTATCATTTACTTGTAGAAACTGTCTAATTTCTTCTATAAATTCCTCTGTGACCCACTGATTGTTCAGGTAACTTAAACTGTAAGGATGTCTGTTAACATCACAATTAAATATGCCAAGGGAGAAGCCATGTTGTCAAATGCCCACTTAACCCACCCAAACATCTCAAACCCACCCTTTGCTAACCTTCTATACCTCATTTTTAAAGTTTTTTTTCTTTTTTTAAAATAACTGAAAGTAGACCAGTATAGGTAAATGCTAACTGTCCATATCCACATAGAGACACAGAGTAATCTCTGAGCCCAATACACAGAGAAAGGAGAAATTACTGAATGCTCAGTCAGGCCGGCTTGGCTCGCTCACCCTTCTGCTCGCTCTCTCATTTGCTCTCCCCTCGAAGTCTGAAGACCAGGGAGGGGCGGGGCGGGGGGCGTGCCCGGCTTTGACCGGGCTCCTGCTTGCGGAGGGGAGGTGGCTGCAGCCTGGCGGGCGGCTCAGCTCTCTCGCTGATGCTCCGCGCTCCAGCTCTCTGTTCGCTCTCCAGTTTCTTCATGATTGATTGATTGATTGATTGGAGGGGCAATGGATAGAGTGTTTCTATTTGAGTTATATAGTAGTATAGAGAAAATCCTAGAACAAAGATGGTTGGGATATATTTTCTTAATGATTAGCTTTAACGGGGAGAAAAAAATATTCGTTTCTATTTATAGAAAAATTTAGATTTCTCATATTCAGGATTAAAATAAAACCACCTCAACAAATTAAAACAAAAGTAAGCAATGATTTAATAACAAAAGTAATGTGCTGTCTAGAAGAAAAACCCAAAGTACACACAAAACAGTTGTGCAGAGATTTAGGGACTGGGGATTGAAGGAATTAGTTAGAATCCAGGGTAGCCCTTTAGTAAAACACTGTGCTCTCAGGTTTGCTAAGCTGAGCCCTTTTCCAAAGTCCTAAATCAATCCTTAGACACTCATTTGCATTCTGGACTCAGAGATGGATTTAGATGAAGTGAAGAAAAGCAGAGGAATACCACACCCTGAACACCTTCTATAAAACAGGTATGGTGCTAAGCTTTCATACGTATTAGAGATATACTGCTCAGGGAGCTCTGCACAACTGTATTATCAGACCTGTCCTGCTGATGTAGAAAAGTGACCTTACAATGGTTAACACAGTATCATGTCTTTTGTGTAGCTAAGTATGGAATAAAACCTAGGTCTGTTTGTAGTCAGAAGCTGTGTTCTCTATATGACACAATGTAATCCTTAAGCCAAAAGTATAAAATGATGGAAGGTGGAATGGGAGCATGAGTGAAGATTAAATAAATAGATCGTCTTCAACCCCAGAATTTTCTTATTTATGCATAAAAAGAGAATATTTGTATGCTCACATGTAAAATGCAGTCCTTTTACCCTCAGGCTATCCTTATGGGTGTTTGTTTGTTTGTTTGTTTAAAGTGTGCTTTATTGTTGGGTGTGGAAGAGCATTCCTGTAATCCTAGCACTCAGTAGGCTAAGGCAAAAGGATGGCTGTGAGTGTAAGGCCAGCCTGGGAGGGCTACACAGTGAGTTCAAGCCCACTCTGAACTACATAAATGAGGCCCTGCCTGTAAAAAAAAGGAAGTTTGCTTTATAAAACATTTTTTTTAACAAAACCTTGCTCTCATCCTTTAATGTGATTGTCAAAGTCCCAAAGCATCTAATAACTTATTACTGAGATATTGGAGCATAGGGAAGAAAAGTAAGCCTTCCCACTGTCCCATACTTAATTTGGGAGAAGTTAGATTTTATCACTCAAATAGATGTTTTATTGTTTTCTTTCTCAATGTACTTTTGTATCACTACTACCTTTCTGACTTCTAGAAATTATACCTCAACAATGATGGGGGAGAAATGGAACAAGGTGAAGATGGTTGTGATCTAGTCACTGGCAACCTAGTAACAGAGTATGTGGCTGAACTATTTCTTTCGCTTCCTGTCCCACCATATTTCAGGGAGTTTCTTTGCAATGTCAAAAATCCCCACAAGCATAATTTTTTTCTTCCTCTAGTCTCAGCTTTTTACTGTACTTTGTCTGAGATTCTGGATAGACAGAACTAAAAGAAATCGACAAGGTGGGGAAGCACTTGAACACTCAGCAATCTGCTAGATTTGGAGCACTGAAAGGGCAAGGATCCATTGTTTATTCATGTCTGTAAGTAAAGTCTGACACACAAGGGGCACTCAATAAGTGTTGAAAGAATGACTGGGTATGACCAATGTCAGTCATTGAGCATTTCTTACATAGAAACACATGAGACTGTCAATGTTCCTTGTACATAGATAAGGGTGAGGGAGGGCAGAGAAATATACTTTAGGCAGGATTCAAATCTGGACTTGTCTGGAAATGCATCTTTGGTTTAGCCAGCTGCTGTTTAGTTCTCAGAACTTACATATCATTAGGTGTTGTCATCCCGGGGCCATGCAGCATGAAATGAGAATATTCAAAACAGTTTGGAAAAACCCAAATAGGAAAACTCCTGATGATATTCCTGAAATTACTGGTCCTAAGAAACTAGAATGAGCAGAGCTGTTGATATTTTTAGGGTCACAGAAATGAGAAGAGAATGTTTTACCACAATCCAGAAGGAGAAATCTTGAGTACAGGCCACCTTGAAAGAAGCAAGATATTAAAGTAAGAAATTGAGCCAATCTGTGGTAATCCCTCAGGGAAGGAGTTTGGCATGTTATAAATACTCAATAAATGTTATCTAGTATTTGATCAACACAATGCATGTAATTCTTAAAAGCTAAGTTTACAGCACTTTATTACATGCCAGTCATGATTTCAAGTATTTAACATGTATTAATTCACCTTAATAATCAAAAAAATATTGAGATATCTTTGCTAACATGAAGTTCATTGCACAGGTGATGGAAAACCATACAGGACATTAAATGACTTGTTCAAGATTACATGGCTAATAAGGCATAAAATCCATGATTTGAATGCAAGAAATTTGTCTCTTAGGCCCAATTTTTACCCCATTAGCAATAACATTTGCACTAGTTAGCATTCTTAGGTCCTGAGGATGAGGAAGAATGTGAGGTTGGATATGTGTCAAACTATTGCATTCTATTTTTAAATTTTACACTTTCCATGTCAGTGGAAAATAGTAGACCACTATTTTATTGTCTCCAGAGTTCATTGTTTTTAAATGAAGATACTGTAAGAAGATATCTACAATCTATGCCTCTGACCAATGACTTGCATCATAAAACATGAACAAGAGATTGTCAATTAAAATGGAATTCTGAATAAGAGGGTGGTACTAGTGGTTATCTATACAAATGAGAAGACAAACTCACATTCATCTCTGAAATTTTGCTAATCTTAGTAATATACACTTATCATCTACAGATCATGACACTTTAAACGCTAATAAATATCATTTAGTCACTTTTGATATAACACAAAGCCCAGGCCAATTATTGTTTTTATTTCTACCACTGTCTTCTCAAAACAAATTGCACTGCACTGCAATTTATTTCAAACTCAAGTAATCAGTGTCAGTAGTTTTATATATGTGCGCATGCACCAATATGAAGATGTATCTGCATATATGTACATGTATATGTGTGTTGGTTTAGCCAGACTGTGAAATTTTTTATCTCAAGCTTGCTAGAAAATGTGAAAATGTTCAAACTGCCATTGGTATAAAATATCAGCCACTTCCCAGTCATGGTAAAAGTATGGCTTTGTGATAGGGTAATACTGTAAGAAACTTGTAGAAATTAGTTTCATGCAGATTATTTCTACAAAGCAACACATTATCAAACTTCATTTGTTCAAACAAATGTAGACACAGAAATCCTCCATCCATAACATTAAAATCTCCACTCTTTGAGATATCTCTAAATTGCTCACTAGTCCCTTTGCAGGCAAACAGACTACCTAGTGTAGCTCAACACTTGTTAGAAAGTCTTTCTACCTAAAATATCTCATCTTAATAGAATGATTCCCAATCTTACAATCTCAATATTGCCCCCTTTTACTCTGTAAAATTTATTTCCTGTTAAAAACCTTGAACACCTACTGAAATTAAAAAATGAAGGAAATGAATTCACTTCCCCAAGTTTATAAACAGACTTTGCTATTTATTTAACATTTTTTCAGTATTTTTATTAATGTGTTTTTGTTATATATGGTGAATATATTCACATGGGATATTGGTTGATATACATATCACAACTTGATTATTTTTTATTGTCTTTTTTGTACCGGGGATCAAACTCAAAACCTTGCACTTGCCAGGCAGGCACTGTGCCTCTGAGCTACACCACCACCCGACCACCCCCCACCCCACCCCCCACCCCCACCGCAAGTTGATCATTTTACTTCTCACTCCTTTCCCCTCATTTCCATCTCCTGCCCTCCCAAGATCACCTCCCCATGTCCACAAGGTCTAGGTCCACATTTCCTGTACTATTTTTTTCCTCTTTAAATTACTTACACTTTGTGTATCTTATGTAAGATAAAACATGTGATATTTAACCTTCTATATTTGATTGACTTTACTTAGCATTATGGACCCAGGGTACAGTACATCCATTTTTTTACAAATTGCTTAAGTTAATCCTTTTTATGACTTAGAAGTACTTCACTGTGCATATACATTTCTTTATTTATTTATTAGATGATGAGTATATAGGCCCTTCCAAGATTTAGCTACATTATTATGAGTTGTATTGCTGTAAACGAGGCTATGCATGAATCATGGTAAAATGATGTCTAGATCTTTTGGGAAGTTATCAGGAAATGGGGTCAAGTGAAATTTCTATTTTTAGTTTTTGGGAAAATCTCCATACTGATTTCCATAGTGGTTGTACAAGTC